ACACACACACACACACACACACACACACACACACACACACACACACACACACACACACACACACACACACACGCACAAGCCAACGCACAAATACACACACATACACACACATACACACACATACACACACATACACACACATACACATCCACACACGCACATACACACACACGCACACTGGTGCTGCCTGGCGCCAAGATGCCCGCGATTCCTCGAGCCACGGCTGGCTTCTCCGCCACCATCAACGCAAACGGCATCGTGCACCTGCCGCCCCATGCACACAAAAAGTGTCAAGAACACAGCGCGATCACCGGTAAACAACGCAGTCCACACCACATCGCACAGAGAGAACAAGGGCCAGCCACACACTCATGTAGCAACACCACACAATGCCATGCACAACCATCCCACCACCGGCATGCACCAACACCAAGCACCACGTACCACCAGCACAACACTTGCTTCGCTGCTGTTTGTGTCGTTTCGCGGCAAAAACACGTCTGCTGCAGCTGTGCGCGGTTTTTGGATTTTACCAACAGCAGTCACAGACAGCATGAAAATGGGAGGCATTTTACCACGCAAGCATTGTTGGCAAAACAGAATTTAGCAATAACATCAATAGAAACCCGGTTTCGCAACAACCTGACCTTCAAGGCATGCTCGAAGCGTGTTGCGAAGGCAGGCAAAACGGATGACAGGCCATCCAGCCAAACTCCCAGCCACCGAACAAACGGACCAACCAAAAGGCAAAGCCCTCACCTCACATCAACCCACGAACGCCAAGAGCGAGCACACACACTTTCCCAACCAGCCAGCCAAACAGCAGCAGCAGGAGGGCGAGTGAAAGGATTGGTTGGAACGATAGCGACAAAGTTGTGGAGAGAAGAGAGAGAGAGAGAGAAGAAGAAGGAAGCAAGTGACAGCAGGCAGGCAGGCAAGTCAGGAGCAAGGATTGCCATCTGCAAACCGGAGTGTTGTGGGATTGAGTGGGAACAAGAACCAGCCAAGCCAGTCAGCGATCCAAGGACACAGGCCATCATGGCCAAGTACCTTGTCAAGTGAGTCGAGACAACAGGAGTGGAACGTTCTTCAGGGCTGGGGAGCACTGTGGTCTTTGTTTGTGTGCTGCTCGATTGCGTGACTTTCCCATGATGCATTGTTGTCTGCCACCTGACTGCCGTTCAGCTCGATGTTCATTGCTTGCTCATCCCGGCGCATGCACCTCTCCAACCTCACCACCATGTCATCAATACTCCCTCACTGACAGCCGCGATGATGACGACTTGTGCTCTCTGCCGGAGATGTCGCGGGAGCACGTCTTCAACGCCATCCGCGACCGCTTCCAACAAGACATCATCTACGTGCGTCGCGTTGCGTCGTGCGTGTGTGTGTGCGTGTATCTGTGTTGTGTGTGTTGTGCGTGCGGTGTGTCGTGTGTGTGCGTATGTGCGTGTGTGCGTGTGTTGTGGCAGATCAATCCCTCAACGCGATCTTTCTCTTTGTCTCTGCTGCGCTTCTCCCACGTGCACAATCCTCAACTTGCCCCTCCCATTCCCCCCAACACACTCACACCCTTGCACGCCATTGTACTCTCGCACTCGCAGACATACGTCAGCGACATGCTGATTGCGGTCAACCCGTGCAAGCCCCTGCCAGATCTCTACTCCATCGAGGTCAGTGCGCGCGCGCGCGTGTGATGACATGATGAGCAAAGACTTGAAAGGGGGCTTTCGGTGGCTGCAAGTGAGATCAACAGGCATGAGGGAAGCATGCAAGCAAGCGTGGTCACGTTCAGAGTGGTGGCTCACGATCAAAGACGCAAACGTTCTCACTTCCATCACACATGGCCTGACTCAACGGCTCATGCTTATTGCCATTGTGGCGTCAACTGCAGATTGCACGGCAGTACCTGACGTTGACGTCAGCTCGCTGCCCCCCGCACATCCACGGCATCGCCCTGCGCACGTACACGCAGCTCAAGGAGACACGGCTCCCGCAGTGCTGCATCATCAGTGGCGAGAGTGGTGCAGGAAAGACGGAGAGCACAAAGCTGTTTGTCAGCCACGTGCTCAAACTTGCCATGCCGGAGAAGGACACGCTCAGTGAGTACAGCCGTGTTAGAGGAATGTTGGGACTATGCAAGTGCGTGTGAGGGGGGATCTTGTGTTGCTCATTTGTGTGGGTGTGCATGTACGCGTGGTTTTCATTGGGTGCACGTGGGTTGCGCTGTCCTTCTGCTCTTCTCGCTTGCTTCTTCGTCTCATCAAGTTTGTGTCACATCTGCATTGGAGCAGGCATCGGCCAGCACGCAAACGCGTGCGTTGACCTTCCCATCAAGATCAACCAGGTTCAAACCAGTGAAGCATGCGCACCTGTGCTACATCTGTACGCGTGCTTCCACTTGGAACCGAAAGATCTTACACATGGATGGACACACACACACACGCACGCACACACACATACACACACGCTCGCTCGCTCGCATGTACAGGTCAACCCCATTCTGGAAGCGTTTGGAAACGCCAAGACCCCCCTCAATGACAACTCGAGCAGGTACACACGCCTGCGAACCATTGCCTGCAAGCAAACAAATTAAACACTGCATATCTGTGTTTAATGATTTGGATGCGGCACACATTCACATCACATCACGCCACATTGTACTCTGTCTGTGTGTGTGGACGTTTCAGGTTTGGCAAGTACCTTCAGCTGCAGTTTGACAAGGACGGTGTAATCTCTGGCGCCTCCATGTCACAGGTGGGGGGAGGCAGTGCACATTAATTTGTATTGTTCGCTGGTGATGATCATGCCCGCTTCGCTGCAACTCGAACCTTGTTGCCTGCAGGCAACCTTGCTTTACTCCTGCCTGTGCATCCCACCTTACTCACTCTGCACGACCACTACCACCACCACCGCCGCCGCCCACGTTCAGTATCTGCTTGAGAAAGCGCGCGTGGTGCACCGGTCTGAAGGCGAAGAAAACTTCCACGTGTTCCACTACCTCATCGCTGGCCTTCCAGCAGACACAGCAGCCACCCTCCATCTCTCACCCTCAGACTACCACAAGTACGTATTTGTGCGTGCGTGCGTGCGTGTGTGTGTGTGTGTGTGTGTGTGCGTGTGTGTGTGTGTGTGTGTGTGTGCGTGTGTGTGTGGAAAGGAAAGTTCTTGTGGCCGTTGTGCATGATGACTTCACTTGAACAACAAATGCTCATCATGCTGCACGTCACCATCACCACCATCAAAATGACAACAGCTTTCTGTACTCTGATGAGAGCTCTGCTGATTTGCCTCCAAGCGTCACCACCTCATTCACCAAGTCCCAAAAGGTGCGAGTGTGTTCGTGTGCGTTGCCTCTGTGTGTGGGTGTGTGCGTGTGTGCGTGTGACTGCTAGTACAAGTCTGGAAGAGACAGCATGGCTCACTCACGCGCGCTCACACACCGCGCACGCAAACACGCAAACGCGCATACACGCAACACATGCACACTGTCTTGTCCATGTCTCACCTCACCTCACCTCAACATCACATCTATCCCGCAACCCCCTCCATTCGTCTACCACCCCACCCCCTCCCCCCCCCCCAACACGGCACAGCTTCGGTTTCGCGAGATGCTGGATGCGATGCTGGCTGTCGGCTTCAGCACAACAGAACTGCAGCAGATCTTCGAGTCCGGTGAGCAGCGCACACAATGTGGAACCCTTGTGTGTGTGTGTGTGTGTGTGTGTGTGTGTGTGTGTGTGTGTGTGTCTGTGTCTGTGTCTGTGTGTGTGTGTGTCTATCTGTGTGTCTGTCTGTGTGTCTGTGTGTCTGTGCCGCGGTAAGTAAGTGGCCAACGATGGACAGGGGAAACGCACACAACGCAACACAACACGACACACCACAACACAACACAACACAACACGACACAACACAACACAACACAACACAACACGACACGACACAACACGACACGACACAACCCAACACAACACGACACGACACAACCCAACACAACACGACACGACACAACACTTACGCGCAAGCACCACGTGCTGCCTTCCCTTGCGTTGAGCAGTTGCTGCGATCATCCACATTGGTGACATTGAGTTTGATCTCGATCCCGTCTCCGACACTGCCGTCGTCCACTGCCCGCACATATGCGCACGAGGTGACGACGGCGACTGTTCTTGTTCTTGTTCTTGTTCTTGTTCTTGTCCTTGTTCTTGCTGTTGTTGTTGATGTTGTTATTGTTCTTGTTGTGCTTGTTTCTTGTTCTTGTTCTTGTTCTTGTTTCCGCACGTCAGGAACGCGCGTGCTTCTGCTTTGCATGCTCTCGACCTCAACCGCTGCAGCAAGATGACAATGCACGCATGCACCCCTCACACCCTACATTTGCTCTCTATCTCTCATTCACACACACACACGTACACACACACACACACACAAACCCGCCTCTCCCCTTTCACACTTTCACCAACCTCCAGTCGCCAATCTGTTGCAAGTTTCGGAAGAGCAGTTGCAATTGGCATTGACATTCAGCATTTCTGTCACCCGGGGCGAGAGCATCAAACGGTTCGTTGCCTGCAAGCACGATAACAACAGCATAACAATATCGCTACCTTGTCCCCTTCCACAAATGCGTTGCGTGCTTGACTTATCGTGCATGATTGATGTGCGCCGATGTCCAACGGCTCAGGCTTGTCTGTTGGTACCATCCCACGACACATATTTATGTCTTGTTGATCGATGGCATGCAATCTCTGTATCACCGCCATCATGGTTGCTTCCGTGGCTGTTACGGACACATTGACGCTGCACTCACGTTCTGCTCACAACAGCCGCAAGACTGTGAAGGGCGCCGAGGACTGCAGAAACACCATGGCCAAGGTTTGTGGCCAAATGAGAGAAGAAATGGGAAGAAGCGTGGGTGGATACACATCCGGTTGCCACGTATTTGTGCAAGAACTGGTGCATCTTTGTGATTCAAAGCAGCGTCTCTCATGCAGTCTAACCCAATGTCTTTAACATACACACATACACACATACATACAAACGCCGTCACACACATGCACACATACACACAAACACCCTCACACGCACGCACACACACACACTATTCCGCCCTCCCACAGGAGATTTACAGCCGTCTGTTTGAATGGATCGTCATCCGAATCAACGAGCAGCTGTCCGCGCCGGAGGAGGTGGAGGTGAGCACACCCGTGTGTGTGTGTGTGTGTGTGTGTGTGTGTGTGTGTGTGTGTGTGTGTGTGCGTGCGTGTGTGTGTGTGTGTGTGTGTGTGTGTGTGTGTCACAACCTTGACATGTGTCGTCGTTAGGTGCTGTCTGTAAGTGCTCTTGGGCGTGCTTCCCTCCTGACGACGACGTTTTTGAGGCTGCATCTCACGTTGCCCCCATTGCTTCCACCCAAACAACATTGATCATGCCGTGTAGAACATGACGATTGGTGTGTTGGACATCTTTGGGTTCGAGAATATGCCATGCAACAGCTTCGAGCAGGTGCGCAACAAGACAAAGGTTGTATTGCGTGTGGAGTGCAGCTTGTTTGAGCGCGCACGCGTGTTGCAAATGTGAAGGGGTCGGTTTGCTGTTTGCCGTCTGTGTCACGGCCATCACTCGCCATTGTATGGACGTGCACCCATTCATCAACAAACCATTCACGAAACTTGTCTGTCTGTGCGTGTGTGTGTGTGTGTGTGCGTGTGTGCGTGCGTGTGTGTGTGTGTGTGTGTGTGTGTGTGTTCAGTGCTGCATCAACTTGACGAATGAGGAGCTGCAGTTCTACTTCAACGAGAATGTGTTCCAGTGGGAATTGGCGCAGTACAAGGAAGAAGGGTGCGTGTGTGTTTGTGGAATATGATGCTTTTGATGGCTATTTGTATGTGTGTGTGCATACACGTGACTGTGCATGTGTGTGCGTGTTTGGTGATACAATTCATATTGCAGCTTGTCATGCTTCGAGTGCAACAGTCGTAACCTTACGTCCCCCATTGCACAAACAACCGCCCACACAAACGCAAACAGGCGCACTTCCTCTCACGCTCATGCACACACACACCAACTCACTCACACTCCCACTCACACTCACACTCACGCTCACACACATACACACACGCGCCAACTCACACTCACACTCACACTCACGCACGCCGCAACAGAATTGACATTGGGGAGATTGAGTACACGGACAACAAGCGACTGCTCGATTTCTTTCTCCTCAAGGGAATCGGCATGTTCGACATGCTCAACCAGGTTTGCGCGCGTATATTTTGTACATGTGTGTGAGAGAATGTGAGCGAGTGTGTGTGTGTGTGTGACAGAGTGTGTGGGTGTGTGTGTGTGTCAGAGAGTGTGTATTTCGAGGGTGTTAGACACACGCGCACACATGCTCCCGCGCACGCGAATACGTGTCTGCAAAGACCTCGACGTTTGAAAGATGACAACCACTTCCTGTAGTTGTCGCCGTCCTGTTCTCATCACCGCTTCGCTCGGGCACCTCTAACTCATCATCATCACCATCACCGCAAACATTCTTGCTTGTTTCAGGAATCCTTCCTCCCAACGGGCACCGCCAAGTCGTTCACAGAAAAACTCACGCGCGAATGGAACGGCAGCAACGTCTACGAAGGAAACAGGGTACCGTTTATGAATGTGTGTGTGTGTGCGTGCGCGCGCGCTCTCATGTGTTCTTGTGCGTGTGCTCGCGTGTTTGTCCCTGAATCCCCTTGGCTTCATGTGCCCTTGTTGGTGGCAAGCTCTCCGTGGTCGCTGCGTGTGCCCTGAAGAGCATGCATGCTTGCTTGCAGGCAAACCAACATACCCTTACGCCCCTTCTAAAACAGTCTCACATTCATGACTGTATCTGCCATGGTCACGCAGATCTACAAGACGCTATTTACGGTGAAACACTTCGCGGGCGACATCGAATACGACAGCGAACAGTAAGTGCGAATGCACATCACAAGCATCAGCACGTGTGGCCGTGGAATGTGGCGACTGTATTCTCCGTTTCGTTCGGGTGATCATGTATTCGAAAGAGGCGAGGGCATGACAACAGCCACTGCAAGGCGTTTGTGCAGACTGTTGCACGTCCATTGCTTACTCATATCACAATCACACACACACGCACACACACACACACACACACACACACACGCACACACGCACACACACACACACACTCTCTCTCTCTCACTCACAGGTTTCTTGAGAAGAACCGAGACCCGTTCCCTGAGGACGTGCGGCAGATGTTGTGCGAGAGCGAATCGACATTCATCAGCTCTCTCTTCAATGTGGGTGGCATTGTTGCATGCTTGGTTCTGTGAGTGAGTGTTGTGCCGCAGATGTATTTGCTGGCACCCGCTGCCTCACCCTCTCTCGTACATTCACGCACACACACATGCATGCACACACATACACACACATACACATTTGCATGTACACATACCTCACACTCTCTACTCATGTCGTTTCTCTTCGCATTCATAACACGCACGCGCTCGTGTCCGACAGCACGCTTTTCGGGTCAACACGACATCAGGCATTGACAAGAAGTTCATGAAGCTCCAGCGCCAAAACTCCAAGATCAGGTGAGATCATGCGCATGCGCTGTCTGTGTAAGTGTGTATGTGTGTGAGTGAGTGTGTGTGTGTGTGTGTGTGTCGGTGTGCATGTGCATGTACATGTGCGTGTGCATGTGCCTGTGTGAAGAGATGTTTAGTGTGCGCGTTTCCAATTCGTGTTTAACAACACATACATTCAACCTCAACCTCAAACTCACTGCAATGGTCACCACCATCACCATGATTGCAATTGTCGACATCACGTCACCGAAATCGCTATCGTCAGGGACGCTCTCCGTGTTGGATCTCGCGACCAGTGAGTGAACACATGTGCATGCTTGCAAGTCGCCTTGATGTGTCTTACGTCGTGTGAGGCTGTGTATGTAAGTGTGTAAGTCCGTGTGCATGTGTGTGAGGCAGGGAAGTCAACAACGTTGCTGTTCACTGCGTCGACATGCTCTATCTTCAACTGTCGCTCACAAATCGAATTGCCACATCACACCACCAACCACCCATCACACCACCAACCACCCATCACACCACCAACCACCCATCACACCACCAACCACCCATCACACCACCAACCACCCATCACACCAACTGCTGTTCTGTGTGTGATTCAGACTGGTGTCGCCCAGCCGGCGGGCCCAGGGCAAACGCAACACGCTCGCCGCCTCGTTCCGCACATCTCTCGAACACCTCATGCGAAAGGTGGCGAACGACTTCACTGAATCGAAACTGATCCTGGTGGTCATGATGGGTTCGAGAGCGAAGTGGTGGTGATGCGAGTCATGTATGAGTGAATACCACTCCCTGTGCTTTGTGTCCCTGCGCGTGTCCTGCTGAAGACCAACAAGACTGAGCGGCACACCTCAATTCCCCCCCCCCTACTCACACACCTCGCATCATGCCATCACTTCACTTCACTCACAACCACCGCCCACGACCCATCATCGACCCTGAACAGATGCGCGCGTGCCAGCCCGCGTTCATCCGCTGCATCAAACCAGACCCTTACCGCTGCCCAAACAGCTTCGTCTCGGAGTTTGTCCATCGCCAGCTCAACTACACGGGCGTCTTCGAGGCCGTTCGCATTCGCCGCGAGGTGTGCTGTGCTGTGTGTGTGTGTGTGTGTGTGTGTGTGTGTGTGTGTGTGTGTGTGTGTGTGTGTGTCTGTATGTGTGCGTGTGTGTGTCTGTATGTGTGCGTGTGTGTGTGTGTATGTGTGCGTGTGTGTGTATGTGTGTGTCTGTGTGTGTCTGTATGTGTCTGTGTGTTCAAGTGAATACTGACCCTGTCCTTTGTCATTTGATCGCCCACTCCCTTTCCCCCCACCGCCCTCCCTCGTGTTGTCCCTGTTTCACGCTCTTCCTCGTTTGACCAACACTGCCTGACTCACGCCAAATCGTTGGTAATGCTGCCTTTGTTCCACTTCAAGGGCTACCCGATTCGCATGCTGTTCGTGGACTTGGTGGAGCAATTTGGGAGTGTTGCATTTCCGTTCCACAGCTGCGCACATGCACCGGCAACATACACCACCGCCCACAAGATCATGTCCAAGATCAGCAGCAACGGGTGCGTGCGTGTCCCATATTGAGTGCAACACACAAGGCAGCCATGTGCCATGATTGAGTTGTGATCAGTTCTGTGGCCAAGCTCTCGCACACATACACATGAACACACATTTTCACGTGCACTCACGCCCACACTCATCCAATTCCGTGGACACAATGACGTGTGCATGTGCAGGTGGCAGCTGGGAAAGACGCGTGTGTTCATGAAACTGCACCACCTCGATCTTCTCCGTGATCTCAAGACCTCTCTTTTTGACAGCGTTAGTTCATCGCATGGGCGTGATTGCACGTGTATTGTGTGTGTGTGTGTGTGTGTGTCTGTGTGTGTGTGTGTGTGTGTCTGTGTGTGTCTGTGTGTGCACTCACTTCATGCCATGATGAGGCATAATGTGCGTGAGTCTGTGCAACAACAGCTTGCTGCTCATTCTCGGTTAGTGTATTCGTTCTCAACTACCCAATGCCTTTGTGCTTGCTGCTGGTGCTTCACAGGTGGTGGACGCACAAAAATACGTACATGGATGGCTGGCCAGGGTGCAGTACAAGCGGCTGCTGCGCCAAGCACACAAGGAAGCAACACAGGTCGAGGCGTTGCTTGCAAGCATCCCGTCCCATTGCAAAGCCAAAGCCATGGCAAAGACGGACGCCGAGGTGAGAGAGCGTGCTCCTGGTTGTTTGTTTGTTGACTGAATATACATTGCATTGTATTGTAACCCGCCTCTTCTCACTGCCACCCCCTCCCTCCCTCCAGGGCGAGCGCAAGCACCGTGCAGAGGTGGAGAGACGCGTGAACATCGCTTCCCAGATTGCGGCAATGGCTGCACTCAAGATGAGGGCAAAGAAGGCCCTCAGCGCCGAAGTGAAGGGATCAGAGACAGACCCTGCTGTCCAGGTATGTGTGTGCGTGTGCGTGCGTGCGTGTGCGTTTGTACGTGTGTGTGTGTGTACGTGTGTGCGTGTCTGTGCGTGTGTGTGTGTGTGTGTGTGCGTGCGTGTGTAGGTGTGCGTGTGTTTGCGTGTGGACGATGAAAGGTATCGGTGCTTGTGGTTGCTGGCAGACCAGCGTTTGCATACACGCGTGCGCGTGTGAATATTCGTGGTTGTGGCTGCGCGTGTGTTGTTTTCCTCGTTATTATGTGTTGGCTGTTTCACATCCAGTGAAACTAGCGGTTTTACACACACTCACATACACTCACACACACATACGCATACACATACGCGCGCACACACACACACTCACACACACACACACACACATACGCACACACCTGCCTCCACTATTAGGAGAGCAACAACGAGCCAACAACGTCCTCTGACCCTGGCCAGGCCATCAGCGCTGCCAACAACGACTATGACAACGATGGTGACGATGACGACACGTATGGTGTGCGGCAACACGGCATCTCAGAGAGCAACACGCACGCCACGTCTGCCCAGGAAAATGCGATGGCGACGCCCAAGGACCGTAATGTAAGCGCAAGCGCTGGTGGCGCCCGCAGCCAACACCCACACCAAGCACGACAGCAACGGCAGCAGCAGCAGAGACAATCACGCCGACACCAAGCACCGGTCCGCAGACAGTCGCAGCGCCAGTCTTCACAGTCCCAAATGCAACAGCAACAACAACAACAACAACAACAACAACAACAACAACAACAGAAGCAGGGACGATCAAGTAGCTCTCACCATGTGCAGGACATCAACTCGCGCGCGAACATCACCCGAAACCTTTCAAACTCCTCGGTTGGTTCGGATGCACAAGTGCCTGCAGGCAAGCCTGAGCACCACGCGAACAACCGCGGCCACCGCCACGGCCGGGAGCAAGGGCATCACAGCCCACATGCGCTTTCGCGGGAGAGCAGCAGAGAACTTGGTGGCGACACACACCAACGCAACCACAAACAACAGCAGCATCAGCGACAGCAGCAGATGCAGCACATGTCACGCGACTCGTTTGATTACGGCGACCTGACGCAACACAGCCGCGCACGTGCGACTCGTGGCGATGTTGCACGCGTTCGAAACGAGCAACGGAGGGGCTCCGTGCAGGTGCAGAGGCATGGCAACGCACATGCACATGCACATGCACATGCACAGGCGAGGCTGCGGCGTGCACATCACGAGGAGTATGAGCACAACATGCGTCGCATTCACGAGCACGCGGATGACGTGGCGGTTGCGCGTGCGCGTGGCCGGGAGCTGAATCGCATCAACGGCAACAATGATCGCCACACTTCTTCTTCTTCTGCCGCTGCTGCTGCCCGTGTGTCCACCGCCCACGAATATGAGCACATGGCGCCCCGCCACAACTCTGAGGCGCATAGCGCATCCACCGCAACCGTGTCCGCCACGTCTGGTGCATCGTCGTCGTCATCATCGTCGTCGCATTCGCAGCATCAACGGCAACGTCATCACTGTGACCAGCGCCAACGACGCCACACAGACCAAGACGCAGCCCATGCGTACCACCACAGCAGCCAGCACGACGGGCACGCTCAGTCACCGCAGCAATCGCCATCATCATCGCCGTCGTCGTCAGCCCAATCACCATCATCTGGTGGGCGGAGCAGGTGGAGCCTCTCTGGTCGCAGCGTCATCTCTCGCCTTCGCTCCGGCACCATGTCTCGTCGGCGCAGCGGCAACGGTGGTGGTGATGGTAATGGTGGTGGTGGTGGTGGTCGGCGACAGTCCAAGGCCAACGATGCATTGCATGATGAGTTGACACGTGCGGCGTCCCGGCGTGCGAGCAAGCAAGTCAGGCGCAACGCCAGCCGTGCCTCCATCACCAGCACCGGCAGCAGCGTGACGGGTCTCTCGTACGCATCCAACAGACGTCCGTCGCTCATTGCGAGCTTTACGCGCCGTCTCACTCGCAGATCAAAGGACAGCGGCGGCAACAGCCACATGTTGCAGCTTAGGAGGTGTGTTAGTGTTGCTCTCTGCATGTGTGTTTGTGACTGTGTATGGTCAAGTGTGAGGAGTTGCGTGTGCATGTGTTTGTGTGTGTGTGTGTGTGTGTCTGTGTCTGTGTTCAAGTGTGAGGATTTGTGTGTGTGTGTGTGTGTGTGTGTGTGTTTGTGATTGTTTGTTCACACGTGTGCGCGATGGTTTGTCAAGTGCCCATTGCTCTGTACAATTGTGCCAACTGTCACCACCGCCAAATCCTCTGAACAATGCCTCAACTTTGTGTTTTCATCCACGTGTTTTTTCAGTGGGCGGTCAAGCCGTCGTTCGTCACGCCTCGCGACAATGACGGAGAAACCCGAACTGCAGAAGCAACAATCGTTCATTGAATTCCTCCACCAGTTTGAAATTGACAGGACCACGCTGGTGCGTCGACAATGGCTTGAATGTGTTTGCATGTGTGTGTTTGCATGTATATGTGTGTTTGCATGTGTGTATTTGCATGTGTGTGCGTGTGTCTGTTGTTCCTGTCTTCGTCTTCTGTGCACTTGAATGTGTGTGTGTGTGTGTGTGTGCATGGTACCTTCTACAAGCCGATTCCAGATCAACCCATCACCGCGTGTCAGCCGGCCGTGTTGCTCTGTGATTGTCCTTGCACACCTTACTCAATGGATCACACGACACCACATTTAGATTCCGTGCGTGGTTGAAGGCTGTGCATGTCGCTTCTCCATGTTCAAGGAGCTCAAGGATCACCTCTACCTCGACCACCTGCCCGTCGAAACAAAGGTGTGTGGGTGTTTGGTGGGAGAAGGAAGGCTCATATGTGGTATTGTGCTTGTGTACTTGCGTGCTGTTCGTGCATCTCTGTCCCACTCCTGATAGGGATGACAAATGACTCAATACACAAAATATGTGTGCCTCACGAATGGCGCTCTCTTAACTTGACATGCTTGTTCACCGCTTCGTTCTTTCGTTGCAGTTTACGTTCCATGAGCGAGCCCTTGCCTTCCTGGACACAACGGGTGTCTTGCTTGCCGGCGAATACTACGAGGGCGAACGTGTTGTTCTGCATTTTGAAACGCGCACGTCCGCATGCAAGATTGATGCACGCGACCTCCACCTCGCCCCACGTGAGTGATATGTGTGTGTCGTGTGTGTGTGTGTGTGTGTGTGTTTGTGCCGTGTGTGTGTCGTGCGTGTACGTGTGTGTGTGTGTATGTGTGGTGTACGTGTGTCGTGTACTTGTGTCGTGCGTGGTTTTCCTTCATGTCAGTTTACGTCCTGCTGAATTCATCTTTGTGCAGTGTTGCTTGCGAACAAGGCACTTGTCCGCACGCACGTTCCGGGACGTTTCATGAGACAATTTGAATGTTGTAGTTGAACGACCAGCTCCCTATACTTGCCCCAAACCTCACCGTCACTCCCACATGCGCAAAATGGCCCTCTGCCCGCACCCGCTAGGTGATGTGTACCACGTGAACCTCCAGGAATGCGAAAACCCGGATCGCACGGCACGAACAGAGCGGGTACGACACCACCAGCACATGCGCAAGGGGCGCTCAGCGACTGTACTTCTGTGTGCCACCCGCAATCGTCTCGTGTGTGTGTGTGTGTGTGTGTGTGTGTGTGTGTGTGTGTGTGTGTGTGTGTGTGTGTGTGTGTGTGTGTGTGTGTGTTTATGTTGATTTGCTCCTGTGTCATCACGCTGACACGCACTCTCGTTTCAGGCGAGTTTGCTCCTCCACAGCCATTCTCACCCCCTCTTCCCTTCCTAATTGCCACTTGTTCCACAAACACACACACACACACACACGCCACACATGCACTTTAGATCCGGCGGCATATTGGCAGCGGCGTGTTGGTCACGGTGTGCGACAAGAGCATCTACATCACGCGAAGTGCAAAGAACCCCATCTTTGTCACAACACCCGTGCCCGCAAACCAACAGCACCTCATGCTGCCAAACGGGGAATTGCCACGCAACGAAACCATCTGTGTCTTTGATTACCAGGTGGGCTTGCATACTTTGTTGACTGCCGCTTGCATGAGTGATGGTTTCTGACGTGTTTGTTGGCAACGGTATTTGGTGATTGAAGTGTTGAACTGTTTGGTGCTTGTTGTTGTTGTTGTTGTTGTTGAAGTTGTTGTTGTTGTTAAAGTTGTTGTTGTTGTTAAAGTTGTTGTTGTTGTTGTTGTTGTTGTGTGTGCGTGTGTGTGTGTGTGCGTGCTTGTCATATTCGTTAAGCATTGGGTTTGCTGGTGGCACTTCTTTGCGTTTCTGCTGTGCCTCTACCACTTCTTACGGGACGCAACACCTCACCTTGCTCGCGACGGAATGGTTCCAATGGCAATCAGCTCTTCCGAATGAACCTGCACAAGACGTCGCCAAAGGACTGCTGGGACGCGACGCAAGTGCGCCTGCGCCTGGTACGTGCCTCAGCCGCGAGTGCATGAAGGTGGTGAATGCTCGCTTGAATGTGTCTGCTGCCACTCATTCATGAAGGAACCCAAACACAAACACGTGCGCGCGCGCAAATGCACACACACACACACACACACACACGCACACACACACACACACACACACACACAAATGCACAAATGCACAAATGCACTCACATGCACAAATGCACACACAAATGCACTCAAATGCACACACGCGCACGCAGGTTCGGGACCTTCCCGTGTCCAAAGGGGCGACGTGGCTGTGCTTGCGTGCAACGCAGGCCATTCAGGCGTGGGAAAAAGTGCACGGCGTGGTCTTCAACGTTGCGCAGGCACAACACAACCACGCATAACGGCTGGAGGAGTGAGGCAATGGTGGAAGAACGCATGTCTGTGCGGAGTGTGTCAGAGGCATGTCATTGCAAGCAAGCTACGTTCTTGACTTTTCTTGTGTTATTGTGTTCGTGTGTTCTTGTGTTGAAAAGAGATCAGCAGAGTCGATTGTGTGGTGAGGG